AATTGCTCAGCAGCAGCTAGCATCTCACCAGCCAATACAATTACAGAAGTTGTACCATCGCCCACCTCTTCGTCTTGTGTACGTGCAATTTCAATCATGCTCTTAGCAGCTGGATGCTGAACCGTAATTTCACGTAAGATGGCATTACCGTCATTTGTCATTACGATGCCTCCCATGGGATCCATAAGCATTTTTAACATAGCCTGTGGACCTAGGCAGGTGCGTATAACATCAGCAATAGCCTTTCATAGGAAAATATATTCGGTTTATTATCATGTGTTCAAGACTATTCACTTAAAATTAGTATACTGCTATGAGTCACGCCTGAACTCACCTTTCCGGCATTGATATTCTCCAGCTGCACCTTGCGACCCGATTCACGCTTTGTGTTTTGGCCTATATGGAAAAATGTTAGTAATTTTAAACTCGAATAGCTGTAAACTGATCAGACTTACTTAACACAAGTATAGGTTGTTGTCCTCCAAACATTCTTATTAATTTTTTATTCAACTTTTTCACACCTAATTGAAATCACTCGTGCAATATTCGCGTGCGGCTGACCGTTGTCAAAAGAAGTTGGAATGACAAGAACGATACTTTGTGAGGTTATGTGAGTTTTCCCCTGCACCGTAACAGCTGTCAAATGTCATTAAAATGAAACAGCAAACAATTGTTTATTTCTATGGCTTTTCTATGGAACGTAATATGACGGAAAGAATAAAATATAGACCCTTCGAGTTCTTTTTTAAACGATTAATTTAAAATTCATTAGCTTTGTTTCTTTACAGATAATTCTCTCTAATAATACCATTTTCCCACACCATCCTGAATTACTTTCTTTGCTCCCCCAATTACGATCGCGAATTACCCCATTCCCACGCTTACATTCTTAATTCGACTTGACAGTTCTCTGTCTCTGTGTTTTGTTTTTGTTTTTCTTCGCTGCAAATTGATGCAAAATGTGGGTTCTTCCTAAAAATTTATAAGATTCCGTATAAATATACACATTAGAGATGGACGCGTGAGTGCTTTTGGCTCACGTTCACGCACGCTCACGTTGATGGTTTTGTAAATCACGTTCTGGTATATTCTTTCCAATCACGTTCACGCACGCTCACTTAGCTTTTTTTTAATTTTTCAAATCGAAACTTTATTTATATATATAAATAGGCTTTTATCACTCAAGGATTGTTAGAGAAGCTTCGCCAAACGCCCAGCAAGAGATGAACGCACTATTCATTTTTTTACAAATTTTAGATATATCGCGCATATCATAACTTTACGACACTCATACTTTGAAAAGATTTTTAATTTGATTTTTTTTAAATATTTTAAGTAATTTGTTTTTGTTATTTTATGGCCTTATAACAATTAT